CTCAAGATCAAAGAAATCCTCATTGAACCTTGAAATCCAAATTCTAAGATCTTGACCATGTAGAGTTTTGATAACCTTTGATCTAAAAATTAGATTGAGTTTAATTTTTTTTAAAAAATTAAAGCCAAGTAGATATACAAGTTTATAAATTTTTATCATTTAATATGCTAGAATTCTTGTAGGATTAGAAAATATATATATATTCTCTTTTATTTCTCATAAATCCAAACAAATTAAATCCTAAATATATATATTTTTAATAAAAAAATCATAAAATTTTAATATTAATTCAAATCACTCAAAATTAAGGCTTAATCTAACTTAAGTAAGTTTTTTCTCTAGAATTGTTCTTTAATTAAAAAAAATAAAATAAAATAAAATAAAATACCTTTGAATTGCCATAGGTACTTGGTTTTGTGCTTTAGAATCTGGTTTCAATCTTGATTTACAACAGATCCTCTTTAAGTATCAAATTCTAGCTTTTTTAGGTAATTTTTGCTAAAAACTACTCTTAATTTTTTCTTAAATATAACTACATTATTTTATTTTATAATATATTTTATTTTATTTTATTTTATAATGCTATAAGTAGAAGCTTTTTTACAAAAAAGTAGTATTAACACTAAATGTGTTTAATACCTTCTTATCTTTTATTTATGTCTTTCTAAAGTATAAGTCATTTTTTTCTTTTTCACCTTATAGTCATGTTTCAATACAACAACAATGAGCTGAAAGTTTTTTTTATGAGGGTTAGACCTTTCTCTTAAAGATATACTAAGAATGTTATACCTAGTTGCTAGCCCTTTTGAAAAATCTTAATTAGAATTAATGTGGAATTTAAAGATTTTAGAAGTTTGGCTCTAAAACAATTTTGCACAATGATTGGATGCAAAGAAAGCTTTTTGGTAGAGTAGCATATCTTCTTCCTCATCTCATTTGTAATTGAGGGTACAAATAATATTTTAAAATAAAAATTGGCTTTTAATGTCCAAATATAAGATTAAATTTTATTTTATTTTTTGTATTATAATCTCTCAATCTTATCTTAGCTTAATAGAAGAGTAATAAGGATCCTATCAATAAGTCCTTTATTTGGGATTTTAATGCCCATATTAGTAAGTTGTGCAACTATGTCCCTTATTTCCTTCAAGTGTTCTTTGATACTAATTCTATAAGCCATTTTCAAATTATAAAGTTGAAATTTTAAGATTAGTCTTCCACACATCAATTTAGAGTCAAATAGATTTTTAAGTTTAATCGAATTTTTTTATAGATCTAACATATACAATAAGTAGTAAACTTCTCTTTATTACTTCATACTGACTCTGTTATGTGATAAGAAAAATATAATGCCAAAAAAATTGAATATAGAATCCAATGTTGCAAAAAAATAAAAATGAATATTACAATCATAGAATAACATTATAATTTACTAAAACAACACAAAAACACTAAGATATGAAATCCATGTTTGATATGACATACAAAATAATGTTGAGATATTATTCTCCAACATGATATTAAGGTGTTGTTATTTTCATCCAATGGATGAAATAATCTATCTATATCTGATAGAAGATAAGCATCATAACACCATTGCTACAAGAATTGCTATAAGTATATAAACTATGGTAATTGCATCAATAAAGATAAAACCAATTTAGATTGAATATTTTTATGTGTATTTTTAATCTAAATTGGTTTTATGTGTATCACATGATTGATATTAGCAATGTATACATGCTTGTTTTATGGTATGTAAGTTGACTTTGTTATGGTTTTCAATTTAACAAGAAAATATATAAACAAAATGTATTTGTGCATATTTTATTATTTTCATTCTTAATTCTTTAGTTTTTTAAATTTTAAATTTTGTAAATTAGGTAATATTTTACAAAGATATCATATTTTTATATAAGAATGTGTACTAGAAAAATTGAATATATATATATATATATATATACACACAAATATGTTAAACTTAAATATTATATAAATTTATAATACACAATAATATTGAGTTAATAATTCTCTTTTTCTTATAATAGTTAGGTATTTTAAAATATCTACATTAACATGCTATAAGTATTCTAATTAAGTGTATGAATGAATATATATATATATATATATATATATATATATATATTTATATATATATATTTATATATATATGTGTGTGTATATATATATATATATATATCTACCGATTTTTTTATAATCTGCACATAAATTTAATAATTTATACCAGATTAATTTAATAAACTTGAATGTGTATATGGAATGAGAAGAATTTAAATTTTCATGATGATTCAATTTAAAATATATTTTATTTTATTCAATCTTATATTGTAGATGAAAATATCAAAAAACCTTTGTATTTATGCTTTAAAATTTTATTTTTAAAAAAAATAACACAAGTTTCTTTAAAGAAACATAAAAATTAGGTGTCTTCAACTTTTTAATGAATTTATTATACAATAAAAAAATTACAAGATTTATATTATTATTTAAAATTTAAAAATTTACAAAATATTAGTAATTCTAAAATCTTAATTTTTATCTTAGTAATTATATTAATATGTATTAAATCTAATTTTTCCTTAATATATAAGTATGTTCAATATTAATAATGGAACAAATATTTTTATAAGTGTATAATATTATGTATATCTTATATATTAAAAATAATAGTATGTAATTGTTTGTTTTCATATATCTAAAGGGTATTAAATCTCTTTATTTATCCATCTATCTATCTATTAGTTTATCCAAAATTGTTAACCAATTCATGTGTTGTTTTAGAATCCTAATAAATAACTAAGATAAAAGAGACTTAACATTTAAGGTTGATATCAAAGAGCCATATTCCATGTACTTTAATTAAGTTGTATATTTTCTACTTTTCTAGAAACAAATAGATTTTATTATTATTTTTTAATTAAGTCTTGCTATTGTGGTTTTTTTTTTTAAAAAAAATCCTATAGCACTTTATTTCTATGTCTTCTACAAGAAATTACAATCCTATTGCTATAACAAATTACTTCTACAGCAAAAAAAAAGGGGCTCTTATGCTAATAATATATTTTTTTTATTATTATAACAATAAATTTTTAAATTTTTAACAACTATTTTTTTAATATATTATTGTAGATTCTTGTATTAAAGTAAATATGTATCTTAATGTATAAGTAGATTTATCAAATATTTTTAATAAATGTATTTCAAGAAGATATATATATATATATATATATACATACATACATTGATATTTATGTATTCCAAAAAAATTGAAAAAAATAATTATTGTGATAAAGTAACGAAGTCATTGGATATACCTTGTTAATGCAATAAAATACTATTATATAAAATCTTAAGTTTGGATAGACAAAACCAAATAAATAAAAATAAAATTACATAATTAAACTTTAAAAAATCCTAAAATATGATTTAAAAATTATAAAATTTGTACATAGATAGCATTAGTTTATTACTAAAACAATTTAGTGCAAGGTTGATATAAAATATTATTTTTAAAAATAATATGTCACTCTTTTGAGATTGACACAATAAAATATATATATATATATATATATATATATATATATACATTAAAAAAATATTCAATTAAAAATTAGATGATAGATAATCAACTCTAAATTTTAAAAAATCAAGAATTTTTTATTATAAAATTATTTCTTTAGTAAAAGAATTGACAAGCATAATTTTTTTTTATACCAAATTCAGCTAACACTTTTGGGCCATCAAAAAATAACCTCCAAATTAAAAAAAACAAATAGAGAAGTAAAATCTTGAAATTGTTGTTCATATACTTGAATATTAAGGGCAAATCAAAAAGAAACCAATAAGCTTCCATAAGATGGTAATATAAGGGAAGAGTCACTAAAAACAACTTTTGCATAAGTTGTTAGTCTAAACAAAGTGTTAGTCTTAAAAATAGTTTTGTATAAGCTCATCAAAACAAGATTGTTTTATTTACCAAGATTTGCAACACATAAAGGTTATCGCTACTAAATACCAAATGGAATTAAATCCAAGACCACCTACACTAAAAAAGATGCCCTTTCAATACATACAAAAAAAAAACAAAACAAAACAAAACAAAAAAACTAACCTTACAAGCACATGGTAGAGCAATAAATTGAAAAATAGTTATCATAAAAAATGTTAAATTTCCAACCTTGTGTATGTTGTCTACCCAAGCATGCAACATGTGGTGGATTGAAGATAAGGATTAAATCTTTAAGCAATACATGTGACAATCTATTGGATGAAATTCATTTGAGACTCAAATCTAGAGGTGTTCTATGGAATTTACGTTTTTAAATGAATGTAGCTTTTATTTTTTAAATTGGTGTATTATGAATATTAATAAAAAAAATCAAACGTTTTTAGAAAATTACCTAAAACTTGCCTTGAGAATGGTAGCAAACTTTAGATCTCTATATTACAAGAAGCACTTCCACTAAAAATATGATCATTTGCAGGTTTTAATTGTTTGCCACACATGTTTTCTTTATTTTCTGGTATAGCACTTGCCATAGGTTTTTCTGCTGTACTCTCGAACTTATATACTTCACTACCGCTAAAACACTTGTGCATCCACCGTTGCAATTGTGAAAACATATAGAAAAATGCTGACTATATGAGGTATGGTCTCAGCACTAAGAACGCATCAGTTAAAAGGTTCAATGCTCACAGTAAGAGATTGGTAGGCATAGTACCAAATGAGGGAACAGGACATCGCCCAGCTGAGATAAATCAGAAGTCGACAACGCGCTTCTTCCCCGCTTTGTAAAAAGCTCCAACAATGAACACCAGTTTTGAAAATCAGAGGTGGTAATGGCATACAGAGACATCGATATATTCGTTCGGATGATAAATGGAACATGAGGCACGAAATATATTATTCCAACTATTTGAAAAAAATAGTCACAACCCAATGAATTTTTTTTTCTGAATCAGACATTTGAATCGCTGTAGAAATGGACATTCGAACGCAGTCCGACTGACCTTCTAAGTGTAACGATCATATATATTCAAAAGAGGCTGCCTCACGCAGAAACCCAAAATTTACAACCTTATTGAGCCTGGTGTGACAAATGTGCCAATAACAATGTCGACAACCGGTTACATCTATAAACAAGCGGCAGTATCTGCCCAACTTTACTGCACCCCAACTACAATACCAACAACCTGCAACTACTGAAGGGGTTGTTCAACCAACTAAATGGATTTTACCACTTGCAACTGGAAGTTGTGCTTCACTTCAAATACTCATTCTTCAGCTTTTTCTAGGATACATCCCAAACACATATACATGAGAGCATCGGTGAAGCACACTTATAACATATCCAGTGCAATTGGCTGTTGCAATCAGTCTCTACTCATCCCCTCATGTTAGTTTCCCAAAGCCCTTTAAACATTCTATTTCCAGACTACCAAGAGATTTAATTGTGATGGTGATTCTCAATGTAAGAACCACAAGTTAGACACGAATCCCGCAAGATAACTATCACTGACCCCCAAGTTCAAAGTCCATCGTGTAATCGTACTCAATAGTTGGTATCACGGACGCGACGAATTTGAGGAAAATGAAAAGATATCTGCAAAACAACAAAAACCTCGCGTCAGGTCTGCTCACCTGCTCAGCTAGTACAGTGGGCTGGTTAAGACTCTCAGGTCTATGCAATGTTCCAAGCGAAATCTTGAATCAACCAAATTTCCTTCAAAGAAAAAATTCAACAGTGCAATATGAAGTAGAAAAAATATGGAATAGAACTACGTTTCATCCTTAGCACATTTCTAAGAGCAGGAATGCAGGGTTCATACTTGTCTACTTCAGGATTAACACCACGGGAAAGGAGTATGTCAATGATTTTCTTCATAACTGCACCATGCCTGCAAGGATGGATGGATGCATGCTTTCCTGGCATATGTGGATGATCTTCAATCGTCACCTAAGATCAATTAAGAAAGGCCGCTATTACTGAGAAGGATTTTTTTACAAAGTGCAACAGTTTTGGACGTTTGAATATGTTTCGAATATATATATATTTTCAAATTGAAAACGAATCACAAGTCACTTCCAATTTGCTCAACCTAAGCATTTAAAAAGGAGGGAAGATGGTTCACAACAAGAGAATAAGTTCAATCGAACCAAGTTGAGGGGTAATATAGACATCTGTTGTACGTGACTGGACGTACCGTCTTGCGTGCATGGTCTTGACTAACGTCCTCCAACACAAGTTCTGGTTGAAGCAAATAACGGGTCTGAAACGTGGAAAGCAATGAAGGTGAATTCTTGAAATCAAAAAATCCATGACAAAAGATACAAAAACGGAAAAAAAGAAAACGAAATTGAATCAGAAGAACTCGACTTCGACACACTTGCAGAGAGAAAACCGTTACTGCACTGCATATTTACTGATACCTATGAGGACTTTCTGTAACAATAGATAAAAAAGTTAATGAACCAATTGTACCTCATCATAACCGGTTAGCCACACGCGAGGCGTTTGATAGTACTTGTCGTATCTGCCACACATAATACAAGCAGAGAACACTCTTTCAGAACGGAGGGTAAACATTCTTGCACTTTGATATTATACAATTCTTAACGCAACTGCAAAATCTAACCGACCGCAAAAGTGGGTGATTTAGCAAACCAATGAAAGCATGCTGTCGATCTTGTCCTTTCTACTGCTACTGCTTTCAGAAGTAAAACAACCTGCTGAATGAGGAAACAAAAGAAGATACTGAAATACACGATGCGTTAAATTAGCACGTACGTGATACTAATGTCATAAGTCCGGGTCTTCAAAATGTGATCATCCTCCGGCTCGTGAGCTACAAGGTACGGTTGTAATGTGCTCTGTTCAATCCAATCTTATAGTTAGCTGTTGCACTTCAAAAAACAATCCACAATAGATTCGCATATCCTCCGCAAGATTCAAACAACCCCCAAACTAAACTTACATCATCTGTCTCCACCAAATTGTCATCTCCAACATCATCCATATCTAAAATGTCCTCATCTTCATCATCTTGAGGAATCAATGGTTTGAAGTTCCGCTTCACAGAACTTTCTTGAGTGTCCATAGATGGCACAATTTCATCCTCTGTCTTGTTTTCTAGCCAACCCCATCCAAAAACTAATCAATACATAAATTAACACAGAACTTACGCAAACCACTGGGCTCATGAACACCAAGCAGACAAATCACAAACCTGAGGCGTGAGAAGACTAACAATGACAGATCTAGTAGAGAAGAAAGTAGGAGGGCATTTGTTCCCGCAATCATCCCAGAAGGTGATAAAAAAATAGCGATTTCCCTCCTAAGATCGTGCAGCACTGTGATTAAATTAAAACCACTGTATACCTCTGTCAATTCCGTGCGTGGCAAGCCAACCCTCATCATCATCATTGTCTAGTAACACTTCTCCGCCAGCGGCGTTATAATCTTCTTCAATGGACGAAGCCCTGCGCAAGCATGGTACTGTGCTTTCCTGTCTCAGTTCCATGGCCTTCAGTTGTCTCTCAATTATACAGGAATTTTTGAAATCGTTATCATGCTACGTCACCATATAAGAGATTGATCATTCATCCTTCCACGCGTCCATCGGAGTTACTGCATCCTAAGCAAGGGGTTTTCCACATCTATTTTGAAAAAGAAAGAAGGGAGACGTTATGTATGTGCGCAACATAAATGAGATAGTACCATTGCGAGTGATAAGAAACTGCTTCTCGGCGGGAAGATACGGTTTCCGCTTGTTCGGGTCGCCCATTTCCCTAGAAATACAGGGACGACACCGAGTAATTAGATCCCAAACGTCATTGTATAATTAGGCGTATTTCCTAATCTGTCCCTTGCTCCACTTCCAGAAAAATCTGCGATCGTAACAAGAAGAAACAGAGACACTAGATTTACATCAAATTTAAACGTATGAAGAGGATGATTACCAAGACCAAGTGGGACACTTGGAAACAAGATTGTCTCCTGCTAGAATGAATTCATCGGGAGTGAGTACACCCTTCTCCTTAAAGGCAGAGACAGTGCGAGGACTTGTCATCCTTTCTACAGCGCCTTTAAAAGCCTCATGGAGGCGCTGTGACAAAACCATCGTTCACCACTAACGTAATATTAAGGAACCAACCAATGGCAGTAAGCAATCTCTCCTACCCTCCGAACTATGACCTGCAATCTCGAGCAAGGTACAACATGTCAATTCTTTGATCACACAACACCAAATGCAGCGAAATCATTATTAGGATCTAGAAGGTAGAAACAGGAGGAAGTGGGAGGTTTACCAGAAGGTAATACAAAAAGGAGCAATGACAATAACCTTCACCCTAATTACAGAACATCTTAACACATGGCAAGTCAACCTTCCATTATGAAAAAGCAGAATGAGACACAATAGACGCTCTCGTTTTTATCAAGTGGAACACCTCTTGCATAGCCTAACTGTGATGGGATAAAGGAAGCTCTTGAGTTTAACTGTATGCCTCGTGATAAAATCACATACTCAAAAACTACCAAAAAGATGAGGACTCTCATGGATGGGACGTCAACGGAGCACAACGCTTAACGTAAAAAGAAAAATGACATGGAAACGGCACCTTCCAAAGCCATATGGAAACCTAAACACAACAAAAGCCTTACCACTGTTCAGAGAAATAAGGATTGTGTGGAAGAAGTGTTGAAATTCGTACTGCAATTCTTTTCATCCAGCCACCTACGAGAATCAAGAGCTGCGTTTGAGACGTGAACACACACACAATGAAACAATCTGACAAAATCAGTAATCTCCTTCGACCGAAACCAATGGTAACGTCACCAATGCTAACACAACCTACGAATTTAGAAAAACCAATTCTGAGAATGCCTCAACGCTACGCGAGAAAACAGAAATAGCGTACAAACGAAGGATGCAAACCCTAGGTGCACTGGGCACGTCACGTCCACAGGCCACCAATTCGAAAACATGCGGCATATTTCAAGCTATACGTACACACAAAGCATGTCAAAATTCCTACCAATGCTCTAAACTCCGCATCCGCCAAAGCACGGCACCACTAAAAACCCGACCACGCGTCTGACTAAAACCTTCAGCTCCAACTAAACTATCCACCGACACAGGGAAACAAAAATTAGTTTTCTACTCGCACGAACGACACGGTAGAATTCGACGCAGCGTCCACTCCAATTACATGGCCGCAAAAAGACAAACGACAAGGGAAAGAATCGCGGAGGTCATGACCAGAGTTCGAGACGCAATAGAATCCGGATTCTACTACTAGTTTGTATACCTGCAGAAGCAGAAGAAGACGGTGCGCAGAGAGAGACGCAAGCAGGAAATTCAGTGTACGAATGAATTCAGAGCAGGAGGAGGACCATGGCGATGGCGATCGTAATTGAGGGTTAGAACAATTTGATGTTGTATTTGCTCTCGCTCGATCCTCTCCTTCCCCCCGCTTCATGCTCTCTTCTTCTTCTCCTGCTTCTTCTTCTTCACTTTGACATCCGAAAGTAGAATATTTCCTTCATCCACTCCTCCGTTCATCCATTCGTCCATGTTTCATTCGTTCGTGCTCTGCTTCTGTGGCAATAGCATCCGATTGATTTGGGACACCTCCCCTTGGTTTTATCAATGGTTTATCTCCTTGATTTTATCCTTAGTTTTAAATTTTCCCTTGTGAGATATAGGTTTGTTCAATTTCAAGTTTAAGTGCACGAATTTCGAGGTCATAGTGTTATTATTATTATACTCAGCTAGTGATGTGGAGGTTGTTTGTGATAAAAATTGGCAAATTGCATATTTTAAAGATAATCCATACGTTTATATTGTATGTGCCTTTTTGTGTGTGTATTTATCTCGTGCTCATAATGTATATATGCACGTGTGTTTTTAATTATATTTATATCGTATTGTGTACAATAATAATTGTACCTTTTTACTTTTTACTTTTTAAAAATCTCCAATAGATTCCATTATATTTCAACTATGGCTTTTCCTCTTAATTACACATGATTTTAAGTTTTTAATTTTTGTTGATCAAATAACAAAAACAAATTGTAAAACATATGTTGGAACTATAAAACCTATAAGTATTGATTTAGAGTAGGTAAACAAACACAATAAATTTCAGATTATGTGCTCACTAAGAAGTAATCACTATTATAATTTTAAGACAGAGTTTAATTCTTTGTTGCAATACAAAGACGATTTAATCTTATAACTAAATATAGTTTTATAAGTTGGAACTGCTTACTTTCTTGACTTGAGTTCTTTCTATTACTTATCATTTAGGAACACCAATTTCTACAAAATATATATATATATATATATACACACACACATATATAATAGTGTTTACTTCTTTTTGAGCACTTCAAAGAACACATGAATTTCACTTTTAGGCATCCATCAAAGTCATATATATATATATATATATATATATATAAATCATAAATCACTCATTAAATAATCAAGTATAAAAGAAAGGAGAGTCAAATCAAGGCACCACTTTGGGATTCCTTGTGGAACGAAGAAGAAGAAGCTTCAAGTGCACTCAAACAAACAAGAAGCTCTCACTCGTTTCAATCTCTTTGGGTCTGCCTGTCTTCAAGCGCGGTCATGGGAAGCGAAACGGTGATAAGAGGCCTTACGCGAGCAGGCCCATCCTACTACTCCGAGAAGGGGGATTATTGCGAGGTTGCTGCAGCGTCGTCGTCGTGGTCGTCTCTCATGCAGCAGCAGAGGAGGAGTAAGAGGAGGGAAGGGGAGGGGATAGGAAGGGAAGTGGGCGGGAGAGGGAGAGGAGGCCATGCACACGAAGTCTCTCTCCCTTGCGTCGCAAATCCTTCGTCGAGGCCTGTCGCAGCGCAATACTACTAATGCATGCGCACACGGGATCTTTCTTGCAACGGCTCTCGTCATTCCTCCTTCTCTAGGTATGCATCGCCTCGCCTCGCCTCGCCTCGTCTCGCAGATAGATCGCTGCAACCCCCGCTGGTTCGCTCCTGCTTCTTCCGCTTTCTGGCCTTGTAAGGACAGTTGGCATTCTCCACGTTGTCGCATCGTGATTGCAGGTTGGCGGGCACGGGAATAGTAATTGCGTTCCTGGGGTTAGTGTGACGGTGTGGGCTGTGACGGAGCTAGCTGTTGCGTTAATGTGGTTATTAGTGGTGGATGTGTGGTTTAATTGAAAATTGGACGCAATTCTCGGGGGTCCGTATGCGTGAGGTTTGCATTGAGTAGGATACTCTTGTCTTCACTGGTATTAATCGTGGTATGCTGGATGCAGCCGTATGAATTTTATTCTGTATGTATATTCTCGGGTGGTTACGAGTTCTTGTGATGGTGGAGTAGGTCGTCTTTCCTGCGGTAGAGTTGTACGCCCCTTTTCACGAGAAGCCTTTTCGTGAAGATGAAGGTTGTGTTGTCATAGCGTTTCCACTGTCGTCTGCTCTCACGTAATTCCAGCCGATCGAAATAGATTTTTCTATGTGATTGACGTGTCAAGCAGAATTCTACATTTTTGGAGGTCGTTGGATGTGAATTTTCCACATGTTGGGCACAATTTAATCTTCTAACAAGGTGCTGTTGCAGTTCTGGGCGAGTAGTAAGTTAGTTGACGTGCCTAAGACTTTCGATTTTATAGTGTGGTGCTGTTTTATTTCTTCGTTTCTTCATTTCTCTTTCCGACGCAGTTCGATGTGCAGTGATTCTGTTGCCTTCATTTTGGGAAGTCATGTTGGCCCCGTAGTTCCTCAGTCTGGTGTTGCATTTTAGGGTTCGTGGGTCGAATATATTAACATCGGATCCAACCTGTTGGTTTTTTTTGTGTTTTAGTTCTGTTTGTGACCCTTTGTTTTAGCTGCTATGCAGAGACTTGATAACCTTAGAAGGTCGATTGTGCTTAGGGTTTGGATGGCTTGAAGCCAGTGGATCACATACTTTTTTTTTTTGAGGATTTTGTTCCGTTTGTATACTCTTCATGGCTGTATTCTGCTCGTGGAGGGCGTTGGATGACGAGACGATTTTTTGGGAAATTAATTTAGGAAACGAGGGCTAAAGGGCTGCATTTCGAGATTTTTCAAACTTTCAAATTGTAATCTATTCTTCTGTTTACTCTGTTTATTTATTTATTTATATCTTTTAGGTCCTGCAGATTAAATCGCCTAATATGGCAGTGGATGCAACTCCTCCTTTGGCCTTTGAGGAATCGTCTTCTCCTCCTCGGAATGGAGGTTTGTCAGCTATGGATGCTTCAGATCAACTTGGAGAGGATGGAGCAATTGTGATCAGACCTTGCAAACCGCTCGAGAAGCAGACATCTTGGCGGCGAAAATTCATGGATAAGAGTGTGCTTGATGATATTATGGGCGATCCTGATGATTTCCAAGATCTTGCAGATTGTGATCTGCCTTCAGAATGTGACGGCGGAAAACGGTATAACGCGGTTAGAGCGCCGTAAGTAAGAGAAGGGCATTTGGAACTGCCGATCCTGCTTCCACGTATGGTGTATGTATTTGGTTGTGGTCCTTGCCATCGGTTCCTGATTGTATGTGGGGAACATTATCTCAAGAACTCATGATCATGACTGCTGTTATCACTCTTTTTATTTTAAGGAGGATATGTGACCACAATTTTTGTGGGCTTTAGTATATATAGTTAGGCATGCAAATTTCTGAATGGGGACTGTTTTGTCAGTCTGCGGAATTTCATAGTTGTAGTGTGGTGAGTTTTGGGACTTGGAAAAGGCTGGGCTTTGCTCTCTTATTCGTAGGATGTTAATAAGGCTCTGTATATATAGCCTTTGTTTCGGTGTGAAAGAACTGCACACTGGAGGATCTCAGTGACTACATCACCACTAAATGAGGAGCTTTTAGTTGGTTCTTGTGGAATATGGCAAAGTGGTCATTTCTTTATAGATATAGTTTTACTATCGACAGTTTTGGTTCCCCTGTTACTTTTACCTTTGAATGGAGAAGACAATCTTCTGTTACAACTCACATCAACGTTCTCTTATCTTTGGATTCCATATTTATTTGCTGGTGTATGCTGCTAGTATATATTTGTTCAACGATGTTTCACAACATCTCTGGTCATGAACAGACTTTTCACCTAGATCTTAGTAAGTTCAAGATTACAACCTTCTTTTAATTTAGCTTTTTTTGTTTTTTGTTTTTTGTTTTGTTGTGTTGTGTTGTGTTGTGTGTTTTTTTGTTTTTGTTTTTGTTTTGTTTTGTTTTTTTTCATTTTTCCTGGTTTGAAATATTTGAAGCATAGTGATTCTCGATCTTACAGTTCCTTGAGAATTCTGCTCGTTTAGGCCTGTTAGAAACCCCTTTACAACGGTAGATTCTTATCACAGTACAAATTTGCTCATTTATCTTGATGTAAAGAAGGTTCCATTGCTTAACACTTGCCTCTGACGTACTTTCTGAGAGCTCATTTGTTTTGACGTCAATTTCAGCATCCTCATATGTGTCTTAGGCTTCTGCTTGCAATCATCTTGTCTTTGGAGTTATCATTGATATCACTAAACTTGATATTAAGTAAATTTCTAAGGTCTGCAGGTATCATAGGCTTTAGTACCAGCTGAGACGTGTTAGCTTCTTGTATTGTCTAGTCCAAAGTCATTTTTTCATACCAAGCATGGACCAACGTCTCAAGGAGAGGAATCCGACAAAAAATCTTCAGTTTGTTTTCAGTTTGAAGGGCGGTATATTCTAGGTGTTTATTTTTGGTTCAATTGTTTCATTCTTGTTCTTTTCTTGGGAGCTCTGCAGTCTTGAAGACGGATCAGCTGCTGGCAAAGTGCAAAACAGCTCCGAACTGCCTCAGGTATATTGTCTCCTGCTACCAGTTGTGAGGTGGCTTTAACTTGATATACTATTTTCCTTTGATATACATAAAAGAGGATGTGTCTTGGGTGAAAACCGGTCAACTTTCAATTGAGGGTAAAAAAAAAAAAAAAACAAAACAAAACAAAACAAAACAAAAAAACTTAAAAAGTTGAAATATCAATTGCTTTCAGTGCTATAATAATAATAATAATAATACCAATAATGCTAATAATGTAATAACAGTACCAACCAAAGCATGTGCTGAGATAATTTGATAGGACTGATGTAATGCTTTCTTATTTTGCTATTGATATTTCCTTGGGGTCAAATCGCTTGCTCTGAAGCAGGAGAGTGCCAGGATTTTGTTAGGCGAGGATTCCTCGAAGACCTCAAAAACACAGACAGGCGAGGGATTGCTGGAATCTTCTCATGGTTCAAGATCGTATGGTGGTGAAGGTAATTCTTTTTATCACCTTTGTTATGGCTCTTCTTGCAATGTTTTAGGAGTTGCGCCAGACTAGACCAAGTGTCTTCTGTGGGATTGAACTGGTAGCTGGCATGTTTTGCTTGGCTTGTTACGAAAACCCTTTTATTGGCAAACCCGTTTGCCTTTATCGGGCTTCCTATTGACAGAAAGTCCTCAAAACTGTGGTCACTTTGTGAATACGATCAAGTTACAATAAGTGTAACCTAACTTGTATGTTATTACATTTCTGGATGTAAACTTTGTTTGCGTAGCAAGACTTTTGGTATTGTGTAGCAAGACATTTCCGTGGAGTCTTCAGTGTTTCAATAGTTTTTTACCAAAGCAACTGCTGTAAAAGCGGATGTCTTCTCTATCTTGGATGACTGATTGTGCACAAGGTTTTGGAGTGTAGATCAGGGATGGAAACTGACGAAGTTCAATTGAAGCAGGAAGCTCATTTTTTGGTAGGAATAATCAACGTCTACATGCACTCTCTGGAGATGATGGAAGACACCACATTCTTACTGGAAGTGTTGGAGACGCTCCAAAGCAGGATAAAATTCATCACACCAGATATTTCATCATCAAGAGCTTGAACCATCATAACATAGAGAAGTCCATCGAGAAAGGAATATGGGCCACACAAGCTATGAACGAAACAGTTTTAAATGAAGCCTTTGAGGTAAGTATTTTGACATGTTTCATCAACTTGCGACTATTTTAAGTTCCTCATCTGTATTTACTGAAGATATGGTGAATGATCTGTGGTATGCTGTGTCACAGACCTCAGAAAAAGTCGTGTTGGTGTTTAGTGTCAATATGAGCAGCCATTTCCAAGGTTATGCGCTCATGTCATCTCCAATAGGACAGCGTCGGGCCAATATATGGAGTGAAGCCAATGAAGGGGCCAATCCTTGGGGTGGTACTTTCCATGTAGAGTGGTTGCGGTTGTATGATCTACCTTTCCAGAAGACAGTCCACTTGAAGAATCCACTAAATGCCTTTAAACCTGTTAAGATCAGCCGAGATTGTCAGGTGGGCGTTTGGTGTATGTCCTAGAGGAACCGAATTTGTTTTTTTGCAAGTTTTGTTAGATTATTAATACTGGTTAAGTTTTTATCATCAGACAGTTCATGTTAACTTAGTGCTTGTTATTAGTGCTTGATGCCATTTACAAGTTCATTAAGTTTCTGCAGAAGTTGCTAGCAGTTCTCAGGGTGTTCAATCTCTTTTTACCGTTGGGTAATAACGATTGATATTGCAGGAGCTCACACAAGCTATTGGTAAGGCATTGTGTGCTCTAATTGACGAGGGTGCTAATCGAGAAGGGCGGCCAAAGCGGTAATTTTGGTCGTAGTTCAATATTGGCATCTATACGTACCAAAGCTCAGGTTGAAGCATAATAGGTGTTTTTTTCTTCTTTGACTTCGTAATGTCTTCACCTATCTGATTATGAACTGGCTAATTGTGATAGGAAGCTGGGGATTCGTGATGTTGACCACCAACTGGGAAAGAGATCTCGAGAGGTGCCTGAAGGGTTGCATAGGCCACGGATACTTACAGCTCCTCTGGCTAGGCCTGCAATGCCTCTGTTGTACTCTTCCTCGTCTCTTCCAGAGACACATCTGCCCAAAGCGATGATCAGGCCATCCAACGGATGCACAAACAAATGTATTGACATGTCAGGGCCTCGCAGATCCTCTGAGTCAAGGTCCCCAACTTCGGCTTCTTCCGAAAGAAGTGATCGAGTAAGAGAGAAAGAAAGAGGTGCGGAAAAGGAGCGCATGCGTAGTAGCAGCAGCACCAGAAGCGTTGACTTGGAATTTGGGGAAGATCTGGTCAATATGGTAGATACCTTTACTGTCGCTATTAATCTTTTCCACTTTAGAATGCGGTTACAGCATCCAACAAATGAGTACAGGGATTTTTATAGTCTTGTCTTTTCTCAGAGTTGAGTTTCAAATTCCAGGATTTCTTTGTGAAGTTGGATGAATATTTAGGTGGAAGTTAGAGTGTTAAGTTTGCTTTAATTTAATCCGTTGTAAAATGTTGGCATTCATTGTGTTTTCTGTTGATACAGACATATGAACAGTATCTTCAACGCCATGGTCAAGGACATTTAAGAGACTGTAACAGTTACCCTCAAGTAAGGCCCTTACTCTCTCGAAAGCCTGTTAAAATTATGTTGTGGAAACCTCTGAAGTCAGTTGTTTGTTACTTCTGATTGCTTAATGTACAGGTATGGAAGAGTTGAGCTACAAAATAAGTACTAGATCGTTTTTTTCTGTATTTCTAATTTATCATAATGCAGAGTGCTGAATCGAAGTTTTGCTGAGTCTACTATCCCCGCACCGTAATTGGGACACTAGGTCTGTCGTTCGGTGAGGATTTTAGAAAGGTTCCAAATTTGGATACCAAAACTTTACTGCAAGTCATTAGTTTAACAACCTTTACATGCCAGTTTATCAACTGATTGCAAAGCTGCATTAATGTTTTGTCAGGCAAATATCGTGACATTACCAGGAGAACATGTATGATATGTTAATCGATGTATCTCATGCACTCTTGCTACTGTAGATTTATGTACTCACAGTGGTTTACAAAGCTTAGTGTAGGTTAACTACAACTTACCCTTTACTCAGAAGGGAACATTATTGAGGGTCGATAATTTTGAAGCCTGTTCCCCAACACAACTTTATCAAGTTGGGAATTGACTCTCATTAGAATTGGACTCATACAAATCAATCGAATGATAGTGGAGTTGGAATTTGCAGGAATCTGGTCTATTGAGATACCAGAATAGAGTCCCTGGTTATGGGGGATGGATGGTCGGAGGGCCTAGTGCTGGCTTCTGCCACGATGAAGCGTAAGTGTTCCAAATTTTTGTAGACTGAACATGAAAACCATTATTAATCTTTCCTCGAACGTGCCTCAATCTGAGCCGTTTTGCTAGTTTACGTACGCTCATTCTTAGATGTGTATTTTTTTTATTTTTTGTAGATATGTGAAGTATGTCGCCAGCTGGTATGGTCTATCGCCAAGCAATGGTGGCATGCGTGGTGTTGACCATGGCTATGAGGCTTCTGAATATGGTTGGCGTGGTCACCAAGAGGAAATGGATGCGCTGATGTATAAGAGATACTAAACGAGAAAACCTGTGATTATCAATAGAACACACGGTCATGAACGACTTTCAACTGTTGTTGATACTAACAGGGGTTGCTGTAAAGGAGGTTTCTTTTGTAGATTTTGTGAATCTGGTTATAGTTTTATCATCACTGCTACTGTTAAGGAGGCTGTATAGCATCTGTTCTGGATCCAATTTCTGGCAACGGAGATCATGAATAGACTTGTTGGTAGCTGGGTCTTATATTTTGTATGTTAACTACTGTGTATGAGTAGGATGGATACGTTTCAGGTTTTACATCTACGAGATGCCAGACAGTATTAAATGAATTTTTCTGGCTATGTACAGTTCCAGCCAGTACGATGCGGGACACCGTAAGGTCAGTCCTTAAAGCAGCAATGAGAACTGCTCTTAAGATTACTGGATTCTGACATTAGAGTCTGTGTAATCATTTTCAGATATTCAGTACTGTTAGATTAGTTGGACTCGTTATGAATCTCCTGGTGTTGAGCTGTTATTATGTTGGTACAGTAGTTAGGATGTAGAGTCGATTGGATCCTTTCAATTTGATTAAGTTAAAAATCTTTCAAGACAAATAAGAGCAGTTCTGATTGCAAAACAAAAACTTATTGAACGTAAAGTAGTGTCAATCGTTATTTTCATTGATGCGAATAAATTGAAGTACTAATGATTGGGAACATAACGTTTGCAAATGAGAGAAATATCATTAAATTTGCAAGTGAGATATTCATTAAGGATCTTGAACCATGAGGGTTGATTTGAAGTGGAAATCCAATGCAACGCATAAATTAAACGATGAAGTATAAAGCGAGACTTTCCATAGAATAAAGTACGAAAAACAGATTACAAGAATTAAAAAAATACTTTATTGCATCATCCTTTATGTTGAAGTATGATTAGGATGTCACAAGGCTTCACTAGATTTCCATGTGTATTTGTATATATATATATATATGTATATATATGTATATATATTAAAAAATCAAAAACTACTTACAAACATTTCTTGAATGAAATCCAACTTTAAAACCCTTGTACAAGCATAATAAGATTCTTTCACTTTATATAAAAACACGAAGAAGTATAATTTCCAACTGTCTTAGTCTTATTAGTGTTTACTTAAATTTAGTCTCACCATTTTATAATCTTCATATGTTTACCATTATTGTTTTAATCTCTAATTTATATTTCACAAAAACAATTTCTTGTATGATTCTATTTGTTCATATCTGTATGATTCGATTAAGTATTCAAAATGTAACTGAACATTTTAATTTGAATTGCTTTATACAAAAAGATTCATTTAAAAATTGTAAAAATAATAAAAAATAATTATCTTGAGAGATTTTTTGGTTTATTTTCAGATTCTACAGATTTAATTAATATACTAAATCGATCATCAAGTTTTTTGAGAACACAATAAAAAAATTCACAAGATTATAAAATATGTTTTGAAAAATAAATTGTTTCTAGAATAGCTACCTTATTTTCATACAAGACTTTTTATATTTATTTCCTTAATCAGTGATTTAACAGATCTCATAATTATGTAACATTATTCAAGAAAATGCAAACTATTTTGAAATACAACAATCCTTTTGAAATACAACAATCCTTTTGAAATTTTTCAAATGCTTCTCTGTAAGCTAATCCAAACATATTGTAATTGTCAAAACTTAATGTAAATGAATGCCTTTGGTGGAACCGTGTAATCTTCTGACTTTTCTACTTTTATGTTTAAGTGTTATAATTTTTAAGTCTTATGTCCTCTTGATTGGATATGTGTTTTATAATATTACGTTTTTATGATTTCAAAAAGTACTCCCTTAATTACAAAGTTATAGATTACAAAGTTATAGTTTATTATAAAAAATCTGATATTTTGTAAAAAAAAAAAGGTATTATTTGACTCTGGTTTATATTAACTTCATTAATTTAATTCAATATGTCAAAATTGAATTAAATTGATTAAATTAATATATTTTCATACATACATATATAATTTCATAAAATATTTTAATTAATTTGTAAATTTTATTATCTTAAAATGTACTTTTTAGGATTTTGACCTTAGTTTCATATACACTCTATTTAATAGTAAGATTTGTTTATGGGATTACATTCATGTGTTTATGAACTTCTCTAGGATACATTTGAAACAAGCATATCCAAATAAAGTAAATAAAGTTTTATTGCATTTGGATTTAATGCATTTGTTTTATTTTATATATAATTAGATCAATAATAAAATTACTACCATTTCTACTTTATCTTTGTGATTATCCTTTTAATTGTGAAGAATATCATTTTTTAGGTCGGATCTTACAATATTTTTAAAAATATTTCATATTGAGATAATTATTCATTTTAAACCAAAATGTTTTTCACTTCTTCTCTTTTTATCCTGTATTTGTACTTGGCATATTTACCTTAAAAATGTTTCTGGAAGAGAAAAAAACAGAATTGAGCTCATCGTCAAGAATTACTCAAACACAGCATTTTTTAAATGTTTTTATTATTTTGTATTTTTTTCATATTTGAACTCTTAACATATCATGTGCAAAAACCTAAGCAACGTATCCCAAACTTTATATTAAGTTTTGGATTTTAAATAACCATGTTTTAAAATTGAGTCTTTAAAAAAGATATCCTTATAGATTGAAATAAGATCTAATTTTGGTACAAGTTTCCTTCGATTGATCAATCAACTTTATTGATTGACAATGATTATAATATCTGCATTCAATTTTATGTAAATTAAAAATAAAATAAAAAAATCTTACAAAGTTTTATCATTGTTCTATATTTTGTATTTTGATTTTTTTGTTTTTGTTAATAGAAGATACTTGGAAGGTTAAAACATGCTAAAAACTATTTGATTTGTTAGTTGGAACTTAATATCGAGACTCTACAACCACAAGAAAGTTGAAAAGTATTTCAACCAATACTAAGACAATTAGCAATCACTCAAGTTACCAACTACTTTTCCAAAAGTACTGTTATTATCTTTAATTATCTTGACTAAGAAAATAAAAAATTCAATTTTAGTTACTCATAAAGCAAACAAAAAACAAAACAAAACAAAATCCTAAGATAGCTTGCCATAAAAAAGAACACTTTGAAATTTATGTCATATTCAAAGAAAACAGTTTTAGAAGGCTAATTCTTATTATTTTTAGTAAAGTAGTTCACAACTGTATTTATACAGAAAAAAATTAACATGTAATTTTGAAGAAAATAAAACAGATGACAACACTTCTGCTTGGAAGTTTTTTAAGACGTAGAATTTTTTTAGGATTGAGGTTCATTTACTTTGCAATTTTTCTCCTTTAAAGACCAAATAATAAAAAGTTAATTACTGGTTTTATTTTATTTTATTACAAATAAAAATACAAAAAAAGACAAAGACCATCCTAAATACAATTAATTTATATCTTAAACATTTTTTTGTGATTAATAAACATAAAATACATATAAACACAAGTATATTTTAAGTATAGTATTTTAATTTATGACCATGAGAGAAAAGTTTATAATTGAAAAAAAAATACTACTTTTGTTGTTTGTTAGATCAAATCAACAATTAAAATATTATCTCATTCTTAGAATACATTGTTACTTCAATGCTATTTATTTAATCACTTTCTAATTTCTCATTCGCCCACCTAACACAAATTTGACATCTTCTAATCATGAAGTATTTTCTATTTTTCTTCAACAATATATTTGAATTTGAAATAATCCATTGTTGTTTAAAAAAAAAAAAAAAAAAAAAAAAAAGTTTACGATTCTTTGACTTCTTTGTAATAGTTAGAATTCAAAGAATGGTAAACTAATATTTAAGACTACATATTAAAACCAATTATGCATTAGATTTAATACATTCAATCAGAACTTAATCAATTATTAATAATCATTAGTTGTTAAAACCTCAAAATTAGAATAGAACATAATTTTGTTGAATCTAAATAAAAATCACACTTATATGGCTAATACTATATATGTTTTTCTTTTTCTTTTTCTTTCTGCTTTAATTCAGCATTCATTTGCCTATCTATTATGATTCTTAAACAATGCCCATTCCATTTTCTTTCTAGAAAAAAGTTTAGTTTCAACACTCTCCTCTTTGTATTCTACTGGTACATTCCCAATAGACCTCTTCCAAATTTTATACCTATGTATAATGATTTCTATTTTTTAAAACCGTTTTTTTCATTTTTTTTACTTTAAAACAATTTGATCATATTTTTTTACCCATCTTCCACTTTTATGCATATTTGAAACTCAGTTCTTCACAAGGGTCCTCACTAAAAAAAACCATTGGATTCGTAGGTGGGTGCTTTATTTGAGAAGTAATCTTTAAACGTTGAAAAAGCTGATTAATTAATGAGGATTGATGACTTCCCTTAACACAAGTTGCCAGAGTTTCCTGCAGTTCATTTAAATGAGAACCCAAGGGATGCATAAATACCAATGCTAGTCAACTAAGTTAACATGCCAATTTTGGAAACTGACAACACAGCATTCTAAACTATTGTACACAACACCAAGTGTTTTTCACCCAACGTGCAATCCTTACCACTTTTATCATCCCTCACAGCATGTCGATGTGAACTCTTCTTTCCAATCATAGGCACAAAAAAACTGAAAGAATCAGGATTTTTCTGCAATACCTACCAACTAATTCAAGCACTTTCCACCGAAGGATTCTTGAATCTAAATTGCAAGGACATCATCTTGAATCCCCATTCTTTTTCTATTACAACGACGAGGTTCGAAAAAAGGGAATAATTTATTGTAAGAAATTTTCTTTGTCAAATTGATGCCACATAAAAGGGCCAAAACATCAGTCTTTTGTTTTTTTATTTTATTTTTGTGTGTTTGTTTTTTTTTTAAGGACCACTGTGATCATGTCACAAGAAACGATGGAAAAGCAAAGATGTAATTCCAACAGTAAAAAGCCAGCAAGGAGAGAGAGCACCATTGGAGTGGTCCTTGATGCCGGAGTTGGAAGCACCAGGAGGCCCAGCTTCACTTGGCATAACCGTCACAGGCATACTTGTGGCAGTGCTGCTCACAGATATGCCTTGCGCACCTGAAAGTGTATCCCCACAAACGTATAATTACACGAACACGAATTAAAAGCATCCTCAGAGAAAGAGAGATGAGCATTTCACTTCTGAACATAATACAAAATCCACCAGCTCCATCGAAATGCTTAATATGAGTAAAGAGTCCGCTTCAGCAGTTGAACACGTACAGTCAAAGTCCTTCCACCCGATTCTTTTGGGCTGAACCGCGTTATCATACACGATGAGCTTATCTTTCAACACGTTATCTGCCATCCAACCATAAACAAGGAATGAAGGCTTTGTATCAACCATTTTCAATTTGTACATTTGATAAACTGGAATATCAGGAACTATGTCTGGGGCTCTCCACATCAAGACGGATACTAAAGAGCTGGAAAACAAAACCCATCTAGTAACCGAGCTCTTTCAGCTTCAAATTCATCAATATTGCTATTGGTTGAGATAAAAGATTAAAAAAAAAAAAAAAAAAAAAAAAAAAACGATAAGTGACTCTCTAAAGCAAAAGCTGAATACTCCAGAAAGTAAAGGTCGTCTAACCAAACTTCCCAATTACGGTTCATAAACAGCATTCCAATATCAATTCAGCATGAGAACAAGACTCTACCTCCAAATATTGTATAAGTCTTGTAACCAGGAGGGCTCGTACTTACGAGCCAACTAAAACAATACGCTGTTAAACCACTCTGCAGAATATGTCCACTGAATCAGTGTGTCATACCAAATATCGCCTGAAAGTACATGCGACCCTCTTCACAGAGCACAACAATACTCTTTAGCTAGACATTCAAAAGGTGAAAGTAGCTTTCAAACGTACCGTGAGCATCTGCTTATACAGATAATTCTTCGGACTTAACGTCATGATCGCTCCCTCAGCGAAGTAAAGAGTAACATTTGGAAAACTCCCCTCTATACTGCAGAAAAAATTGGAACCCAATTTGAAGGGAAAATCATATGAGAGTGACAGACTGTCGAATAAGCTGAGATTGTGCATAAATAGACATGACAAGTCTGAACAGTTTGACGAGTATGATCTAAAAAATAACAGAAACGTGACGGTAACATGACTGATAAAACTAAGAAACAGACACTGAAGGCATAGAGATGTGCAAGGAAAAGCAGAGTAACACAAACGCAGGTCCATTTTTCAAGTGCGAAAAGTACTTCGCATTAAAGGCATGGTCGGAATTCTATATCTCCTCTCAGAATTGAAACCGAAAATTAGACTAAACAAGATATGAAGTGCCTTATGAAACGTAGCAAACCTGTCAGCATAAATAAAACAACTTCGCGTGTTGTTTTCGTTATCACCAATCTGACTAATTGCGGTAGGTGCAGCATCAATCACCTACCAGGACAACGCAATATATGAATCCTATCGTCAACTAACATCAACTTGAAGTATCAGGAAGCTAGATTACAACGGCTTTGTTGATTATTCAACTGTCAAATGCTGCGGACGCATAGGCTAAAAAGACACAAGTTTGTTGATGAGCTTCAAACAACTGCCTGGATTTTAATGAAGAAAGCCATTACAAGATCACTGTACCATTCATGTAAATATCAATTGCAAAAGAGCCAGAAAGCAACTGCAAGATCACTACTCTGCTTGAAGACACTTACTCCTCTTCGAAATTCGTCATATGCTGGCTGCACCAGATAAGTAAGAGTGGTTCCACTGTCGATAATAACACCGCCTGTGTATTCTAAATCAAAAGAAGCAGGTGTGGTGACATTCCTCCCGCTGATCCCAATATTCAATAACTGTACATTGTAATGATCCCTGCATTCAAGAAAGAGACGAAAATCACGATTTGCATCCATCTTCTCTGTGTCTGGTGCTGAACATTCAATGCGAACAAATCGGGCGGCCATTATTTTAACAGCCCGAATTATGATGCCGATCTTGGCATCACTGCAATGAATTTCATTTGTGATCCCTACATTGGATAGCAGATAATTGTACCCATAAAGCAATAAAAAAAAAAAAAAAACCAAAAACCAAAAACCAAAAACCCAAAAAATCTCAACCATTGACTACAATTTTGTCAGCCCTTGCTTCAAAAAAGCATCTTCCAAGACTTACTCGCCAAAAACCATTGGAGTATAAACTAAGTCAGGTTCTCGAATGGTCCCAATGACAAGAGAGCCTCTTCCACTTACATCCCCTTGTAAGCAATGAGCAAAAATGTTAACAGATATGTTCTGCTGAGCTAACTGGTTGGGTAAGGATACCGTTGTCGGACCAAAACCAAGAAGGCCATCTACTGACCATGACCCCGTTTGAGTACCTCCGCACCTACAACCCCAATCAAAACCAGGTTTTAAAGAGCCATCAAGTCCAAAATGCGGAAAAACAATTTGAATGTTCAAGATATAGATAAAGCGAAAAAGATTCAAGGTTGTCATATCAAGCTGGCCAATACTGGCCATTATTGCTACAAATTCACAATCGACGTTGAGTTTTCATACTGCCATTTAGATGTCAGACCGAATGCCAGCAGATCACGAGTCGTAAGGGTCCATATAATAATCCCTAAACTCCCAAAAATACAACAACCACTTGAGAATCAAAAGAGTAAGGCTTGCCGACCCAAATACAAGCCTCGCCGTGCCACTTTTGGCGGTTGAATTGTCACTTGGGACTTGATTAAAAGTAAACACATCGTTCAAGTAGTATCCCGCCGTGCTGCTACCGTCTCCATACAGAAGAGAATAAGGACACGACAATCGCTCCGGAGAGCATTGCAGTTTTTTATTGAGCACTCCGCATTCGGCGTCTGTGCAGCTTATACTTATTTTCGTTGTTGATTTTCGAGGATCGAAGGTTGACATAGGAACCTACACACACCACGGTCCCATCGGCATGCAAATTTATACACAAGAAGACTTTCATGAAGTCATCAGTGCAAGGTTTGCAGGAGAACCAATGCACACGAGCGCTCTCTGGTTTCTGACGGTAATTCCTAAACTCCTGAAACCAAGCGACCGGTGTTATGCCCTTCAAATCACAGGGTCAAGTGAGAGCTACTATACATCCCCACCCATGGTTGTGAGACTATTTATCACCTTCCATCTTACACGTTAACGTCAGCACCAACCAGAATTCACACACATAATCAACAACTACTGATGTGCCACTACGCACGACTGCATACTTAAATATTCATACCCAATTCAATGAAGAAATATCTTCTGATCAGAATTGACTCCTTGAAAACGACGTCAATATATTCCATAAAAAGTAAAAACTGATTGGTGTCCACATACCGGAACGTCTCCGGAGTGCTCACAGCCGGTGCAAGGAGCGCATTTCACCCATGCTACATTGCTGCCTGTGTCCACATCTACGTAGAATTGCTGCGGCGGCGTACCAAGGGAGATTCTCGTGTAATACAATCTGAAACAAGGGATCAACACTTACAACTCTGCGATGACCCATCACCTTATAAAATTTCACACTCGCCTGTACAAAACAGGGCGGAAATTTAAAAGGAGAGTAGAGGGAACCGCCCTGCATAGTTTTGGCTCCGCTTGAATATGACGGGAACACTAACAGATCCTATTGGAAGAAATAGGAGAAATGCAGCTGCTGGTCAGAATAAAGGAGATTAAAACCCGCACAAAAGTTTACCATGAATTTCATTTAAGATACGAGAAGGTATAGCTAGCTCACGTAAAGTCAGAGGCAAATTGGCAGTGGATTGAAACGCGCTAAATTAATATTATCTGATGTCCGCAAGATCCAGGAGTGAAATGCAATAACGAATCCTAGGGTCAATAAGCTCACATTAGATCTCCCTCTTCCTCAACAACCATAGCTCTCAGACTAAAAAATTACCCCATAGCGAAAATATCATTGTCGCCGCTGATGGGGAATGAAACGACTTCAGGCAGCATCCGGCGCAGTCGTCGCTGATCATGCTTGCGCAACGTGTGATAATGGTCCAGGGACATGCCACCATCCTTTCCTGCCCTTGCACTTGATCCTTCCATGTGCGCATACCGATGAACTAGATCAAACTGATGCTGCGCACTACTTCTCCACACACTCTCCACCACCACTAACACCCATGTCACGCCCACAATCACCCCTCTCCATCCCCCCATACCCCTTTCCCTCACCTCCACCCTCGATCAAAAAATCTAAACCCCTGAGTGATCCCCCTCCTCAGGGCGGGCCCTCCCAATAAATCCCCAAACCCCACAACCCTGAACCTCAAAAACTTGCAGGAGTCTTCATTCAGGAGATTGAATCGGGTGGCATGAGCCAACTATGGCTCTGCACGAATCCCGCCCCTCTGCACTACTATCCGCTTCCCCAGAATAACAACACTCACACATATCGAAAAACCTCCGAAATCACTCTCAAATCACTCCTCGTCATTAAAAATGAGGAGCAGGAGTTCAAACCAAGGTGCCACATGCGACGATCGTCACGTTCTCTGCATTTCTCCCATGTCGTCTCTCGCGCCAGACGCACCTTGTCACCCAGAATAATCGATCCAGAAACAATCCAAAAAGGGATCCAAACTTCTTCCTGAAGTCGACCCAAAAACGAACGCCATCCTCCTCCTACCCCAACCAATCCCAAACTTTTATAGACATTGCTGCAGCAGCAGCGGGGGAGGGGGACGGGGGTGGGGGGGAGTCCAAGTGCAGATCGAGATTCAACAGACAGCCGAGCAATAAACTAATGCAAATGTGGGACGTGCGTGATAATTAGAAGATCCGGTACATATGCCAGTCATGCACGCGATCATTCAACCACCACCTTCACCTCCTCCCCCAGCAGCAGCAGCAGCAGCAGCTTCAGCAAGGCCAAGGCCGTTTTGGTTGGTCACAGTCGGCGAGGAAGAGAGCGCTCCGAGGAAGAGGAAGAGGAGGAGGAGCCTCCCTCCCTCTCTCCCTCTCTTGCACGCACACACGCACTCCCACTCACTCTCACACACGAGTTTCTTCGGAGTTTCGTCGTTCCCGTTGGCTTCAGTTACAGAATCCGAAGGGGATCCAGGCCGAGATTCATTCACTGCTGGGTAACCAGTTACTCCTGCTAGTAAAACTGCTTTGTGACATATTGAGTTATTCTTCAGCTTGTTGCCACTGGAGGTCGTTGCTATGAGCCCACTTGCCAATTGCACACTAGTCACTGCACTCAACCACGGATGCTACCGGCGTTAACCAACGGTAGGTTTCTTGTCGGGGACAAAATCTAGCTATGGCACCAGAAGCGCGACGAGCTCCTGAGGATCCTGGTCGAAACTATCCCACTTTTCTATCAACGTGTTGCGCAAAGGCCAGAACCGTAACGTCTATGAAAGTGTTGCAGATTCAAATTGTCGCTAAAATGTCTTCCTAATGGGACGACCTTGCCAGGCATGCGACCCAACAGTTCTATGAGTAGCGCTAAACAATCCTTATCCCTATCAAAGTCGAGTCTCCTCTTCGGTGACCGGAACGGGCGCCTCCAGGGTCCGGCTCAAATTTTCATACACGAAATCTATAAATACGACAATTCAAGTCGATCACTTTGAAGTCAGAAAGAACTTCTCCTGGACATCGATCCTGTTGTTTCTGAATGGCATGGATATATATATATATATATACATATTGCTTACAAGTCCAGCAAGTATTCTCCAGATCCACCATATACATTGCAATTCCAGCTCTCATTTAAATACTGAGAATGAGACAAGCTACGTCTGCGTTTAGGGATATATTACTAGCACAGTTGAAGGACGTTCTTCACCTTTTTTAAATCACAATACTCGTCACCTTCATCTCCACCTTTTCCCCACCCTTTGAACCACGCAGCCTATCTGTTGTTGTATTTAATAGTCTCTGCAGTTTCACATAGCAACTCTTTTCCTGATTCTTCCCCTTTTTCCAACGTCGGCACGCGAAGGTCTGCATCTCAATCTCCTCTTTTCCCTGTCATTGCCATCGCCACTTGCTTCCACTGCAATTCATTTTTTTAAAAAAATAAAATAAAATATTTGCCTGTTATTATTATTATTATTATTATTATTTATTGTTTTTTTTTTCTTCTGATTCATAGAAAGAGTCGGAGAGAGGACCTTGTCAAAGACAGAGAGAGAGTGTGTGCAGTGTTTTGGTTTTTTGACCTGGACCTGGGACCTTAATTCGAAGCACTTGGTCAGAATGGCTACAAAAAGCAGGTAATGAAGCCCCACCAACTTCTCTATCTCTCTCTCTCTTCATTTTTTTTTTTTTTTTTTTTTTTTTGCAATCTACTCCACCATTGTCAAGTGGCAAAAAAACGCCCCCACTTACCTGGAATTGTACGCCTCAGTGAGAGACAGAGAGATAGAGCGTAAGAACATCAAAATCTCTCACAAAAAAAAAATTAAAAAAAAAAAAAAAAAAAAAAAAAAAAGCCGTTTGTTGAAATGCGATGTTCCCGTTGATCGTCGATGTTAATCCTGATCCTCTTGCAGTCCGTGGCATCCATCGCCTTCCGCAACCTGCTTCACAATTGTCATGTCATCGTGGCCCTCTTCTGTGTGTAATGTTACGTACTTTTGTTGCACATTCCTTCCTTGCCACGTCTTTTTATTTGTTTATTTATTTATGTCTTCTTTGTTTAGTTTTGTTGCCTTTTTTCTTTTTCTTCAGATCATGCGTTTTCTAAGCGTACCCAACTATCAAAAAGAGACCCCATCGGTGTATCACGTTACCCACGATTGTGCAACCAGTTGGGTGATTGTAAGTATCTGTGTATGAATACAACATAAGAGAAATAGAAACACAAGGTTATACATTTTATGTGAAATGAGGCAATGGAATGGGGCATTGGATCTAAATAGTTGATTTGACCTGGGAATAGTATGGTTTTTATAACATTTATGTAGTTGATATAGAGAAGGTTGCAGAAATGAATAGGTGTTACTTATCTAGTGTAATTTAAGTACAACAAAATCTATCAAAATCTTTATTTTATTGGGTTTAATTTGCAAACCTAAAATATAAAAATCATTAATATTGAAAGATAGATTTAGTAGATTTGTAGGATATTTTCAAATACTAACTTGTAGATTTTGGATATAGTAATGAATCAAAGATTAAAAAAAAAAGAAAAAGAAAAAAGGGTAGTATGGAAAAATATAGTAGTAAACAAGTATTTAAAAAGGTAAAATCTATGTAATGATTGGTTTGTTCTTTAAAACAACCTATAGTAGAAGTAACTTCTAAAAACAAGTATATAAAGATTTAAAGTTAAATTTATATTTCATTAATTGTCTAGATATATGTTATTAATAATTATAATTATTTTAGCAATTAAAATAATGGTACATTGTAGTGATTGTTTACAGAAAAAAATAATTACATTTTATGTCTACTAGGTATTATATATATATATATATATATATATATATATATATGTCAATATTTTAAGGAGAATGACATTTTTTAATTTTTAATTTTCTAAATTATCTTATATTTTGTAGTTTTAATTTATAATAAGTTAATATTAAAAATTAAGACATTATTCAAATACTAAAATTTTAAATCAAAATAAATGTAATTTATCATTATAAACTAAAAATATTTATCTATGGTTCTAAAAATTAAGAAAATATATAATTAATATATAATATACAGAGTAAAAGATAGTAAATTTTTAGAATCCAATCATAGGATTTTTTTTAATTGATTATAATGTATGTTTTAAAGTAATAGAAACAAAAAAATTAAACCATCTACTTTGGAGATTAAAATTTTAAATTATTATTTGAAAAATATTTATTTTTAATTATTCTAAAAATAAAATTATTATAACTTATTATATATTAGATTATAAAATTAAATTATTATAAACTATTAATTTGAAATAGAAGAATAAATTTTAAAATAATTGTAGCATATTATTAAACAATTTTTTTCTAAAATATAATTGAAATATTTATTTTATTATATTAGATCTATTTTTAAATTTCAATTTATAAAAGATTTATAAATAATATAATATAACTTCTATATTTTTAAATTTCATAAATAACATCTTCAAAATATAATAGATAATTATTTATAACTTTTATATGCATAGATTTAATTTTTTTTTATTAAAGATATGTTATATTTTTTAACAAACTCTACTTTTAAAAAACAAGTTGAGATTCTTAAATCTAGCAAGGTAGTAGCTTTGTAATTTTAGATCTAAAATAAATATCTATCTTAAAATAAAGAGAGGGTTCTAAAAAGTAAATATGACATTCATTAGATATTATATAAGATTTTAGCTACTCGGTCCTTTTTGTAGCTAAACAAATTTGTTATCCAATATATTGTCTTTTTTAATATCCATATTCTTTATTTTTTAGTTGTGTTGCTTCTTTGAAAATGTTGAATAGTGTACCTATATTCTTTAAAATATATACAAAATTCTTTTTGATAACAATAAGTCTTTTCTTACTAAATAAGAAATTTAAAACATATTGCATCAATTTATATATCTTTTATTTTTGAATGTATGCATTAAAAAAAAAATGGTGTTTTTATTAAATTGTAAAAATATTAAAGTCTACTTATATGATTCTTAGATTGAAATTCAATAAGCCAATTATTACACTTCATAACAAAATTGATTATTTGACTCAATGTTATAGGATCAAGTAATTTGAGGATCAATTTCTTTATCTCATATTATAATTCTTTAAAAAAAAGTTACCTAATAAATGTAGCATTATTTTACTTGATACAAATTGTAAGTTATCAAAATTATAAAGCATACAACATTACTAATTGATTTCCTTGTGTAGAAATACAAAACTTATTGACTACAATATAAATTGTATTATATTTTTTATACATCATTTGCAACTTTGCCAAAAAGGTCTCTAAATTAATTAACATTGGATCATGTTTTTTAAGAAAAAATAAAAAATATGATAAAGTAAAATTTGAAAGTAATATTTTGATAAATTTGACTTATCATCCTAGAATTGGATAGCATTGAGATTGAAGTTCAATGACCAATTGTACTTGATTAAAAGATTTCCAAAACTTTGATTGAATGCCATTAAACTTTTCATATAAGTCAATTCTTGATTCTCTAATGTTTGAACAGTGTTCTACTATAGAAGTAATATAATTTGGTATAGATGTTGAAGTAGCTCCAAATATCTCTATATCTTCACTTCTTGCTAATTTTGTTGCTTCTTATAGTAGTTAATTGAGCTTATGTATTACAAACATTAATTCTCTCATTTGTTCTTGCATTTATACCATTGCACTCTTCATTTCAACAAGCACTACCATAATAATACAATAAAAAAAGGATGTCTAATATCACTTTAGACAAGTAAAAAAAAACTTAAAAACTAAGATTTTTTTTAGAATAATATCAATTTAAAAGAAGATAATCTAAAATTTTTAATATGATTATGTATTATTAAGAAAAAAAGATAATCTATTCTTAATTTTAAAAAAAAAAAAAAAAAAAAAACCCTTTGATATTATAAGTGTATTTTAATCAATCTATTAAAGATAAGAACTTAAAGAATGTAATTAAATAAGTAGGTTGTTTTTAAAAAAAAATGAAAAAAAAGAAATAAGTAAATATATATATTCAAAAAGAAATTGGAATAACAATTGCCAAAATACAAGAAAACTAGAGACTCTTGAAACTAGACTAGAAGCAAGAAAAGAATTGACAAGAGTAAAGATGGCTTTACTCTTGCTTATATATATACTATCTAACTATGAGCTACATAATATATATATATATATATATATATATATATATATATATATATATATATATAAATACAAAATTTTATATGTGTTACATGTTTGAATTTGTACAAATTTTATTCTTTAATATATAAATTATGCATACATACAAAAGTAATAACATCTTTAATATATAAAAGAATATTAAGATGAAATTTTATTAAATAATTTTGAATAGATTAGTAATTAAATAATAAAAAAATTCCACAATAGTAGTTTTAAGTCAATTTTAATATATATATATATATATATATATTTATATATATATATTTATATATATATAATTTTTGATACTTTACATCTTATATTGATACAAATAAATTCGATAAATGATTATTATTATGTAATTATTTTTTAAGTTTAGTAATCTTTTTAGAATCTATCAATAAAATAATATCATTAAAATAAAATATGAAAAACTATTAGATACATATTGTACCAAATTCTTATATTTAAAACATTATTTTTTTAAAATAATATTTAAATTATAAAATATTATTAAAAATATTTATTTATTTATTTATTTATTGATAAGTCTTTACTAATTAAATATATTTATGTTCTAATATTAAATAAATATAAATATAATATTATATATATATTATATATAATCTTATTATATATATAATATTATATTTATATATTTATATTATATTTATTCATGGAATAATATATATATATATATATATATATACATAAGAATACTAAATATGTCCTTAAAATTGCTATTTCTATATCTTGCATGACTTTTGGATTACTCTTAAAGTATCTACAATAGTCAATATGACTATTTTTCTAAAATAGAATTTCCATCTTCCTCCTTTTTCTTCTACAAGATATTAGGTTGTCTCTATAGTACTCGTAATGATCTTAAATACAAGTCAAAACTACCAAACCCTGT